TTCATGAGACACACAGAGAGAGAGAAGCAGAGACATAGGCAGAGGGAGAAGATCCAAGCAGGGAGCCTGACGTGGGACTTGATCCCGGGACTCCAGGAACATGCTCTGGGCTAAAGGCAGGTGCTAAACTGCTGAGCCACCCAGATGTCCCTAGTTTTGTTTTTCTCAAACTTTTACCTCATCCACTTAATATGGCCCTTGCTGGGAAACTTGAAAAGCCTCCTAGAGAACTGAGGCTCTTTCAGACTTTTTTTGCAATGCTTTCTGGGGTTAGTCCTTCACATTCAGATGTGAAAGAAAACAGAGTCATGGGAATAAGTTATAAATAGGCTTTTGTCAAAATACTTCCTGCCTGAGGGGCAGATCTCTAGTGCTGTTTTTGATTGTAAATTTCCTAATGTTTAGAATCCTTTGTTTAAATCCTATTATGGTGAATTATTAAAACATCATTACGTGGTTTCCGTATGCCTGTGCTATTTCTATAGTGTGTTGTGACTCTATTACCCCCAAATGGGCTACAAGGAACCATGTTGTTGTCCTTTAAGACTGAGAGGCACATGACTGATATACAATTAAACTTTTTGATTGTGTGCTGTCAAACAGCAATTGCCATCAACTTTAATGCCCCCCATCTAAAATACTTTAATAAATGAAATACAATATTCTTAAATATTTCTAAATTCCTAAAATAAATCCCCAAATTATACTAAGTGGGTGTTAGAATAAAAGTTGTTTACACTATCTTGATTACTCTGTTTAAAGCTTTACTTGTTCTTACTTAATTGGTATGAGAGATAACAATTAGTTGCTTAATTTTCCTGCTGCAGCTTAACAGCGATGCATTTATAGGAAATGAAAATTTTGACTTAATATTATTAGGTTGTCCAATGGAATAAATTATAAAGGGGTTTTACTTTGTTAGTATTTATCTTGCTTGATATAGCTACCAAATAGGCACTTTAAGACTCACTGGCTTAGATTTATCACACCCTAATATAAATTTTGTAGTGGCTAGATTATTGTTCAAATCACTTTCAATGTGATATCTGTCTGCTTCTCTTGTAATTCTAAAGAAGTAACTCAACTATTTGAAAAATTGCCCATTCTGTACCTTTTTAAAAATGCCACATTTATGATGTTAATTATCTTAAAGCATGATAGTATTATAATAATTTCCATTCCACTGTCTTAAAAAAGTATGCACAGAGAAAATCAGCAGTACAGAAGAGTACCAACTGAAAATTTTCCAACTGTATTAGTCTGCTTGGGCTGCTGTAACAAAATACCACACTGGTGGCCCAAATAACAGAAATTTACTTTCTCAAAGTTCTGAATCTATAAATCCAAGATTGAAGTGCCTGCAGATTTAGTTTTTGGTGTGGACTCTCTTCCATGGCCACCCTCTGGCTGTGTGACTTTGTGACCTTTTGTGATCTTTTCTCTGTGAGTGCATGAGAATGAAAGAGATCTCTGGTGACTCTTCCTTTTCTCATAAGGACTGGGTCCCATCCGTATGACCTCGTTTAATCTTAATTATGTCTATACAGTCCCTGTATCCAAATACAATCACTCTGGGGATTAGGGCAGTAGACAAAATCCAGTCTATAACTCCATTCAATCCTGAGTCTCAATCTCCAGAGAAAACCACTTTCAGTCAATTTCTGATATTAGTTCTTCTGGTGGTTATTTTCCATAATTCTGTTACATACTTAAGTGCCTGTTTTTTTAGTGTATAGATAGTATATATATTTAGACAATAAAACTGTTGGCTGAATATAATGAAAAATAGGAAATTAGTTGAATAATTATCTGCTAACTCTGAGCTTTAAAAAATTTTTTTTGCTGGTATTAATTTTAACTTTTTCAATTGGTTAAATTTGTAACTCTAGAAAACAGACTATTTCTTATTTTTTAAGATTTATTTATTTATTTGAGAGAGTGCACATAGAAGGAGGGACAGTGGGAGAGGGAGAGAGAAATGTCCTATTTGTTCAATTTGGTCTTTTTTGTGTGCTATTGATGTGCAGTTCATTTTCCTCAATTGTCTAGTAATTCTTGTGGTTCACTTATATTTTTGAATGAAAGATAAGGATGGTGAATGTTAGGTTAATTGGTGTATATATATTTTCCCAAGATGGCTTTCCCTGGCTGGGGGGCTCATGGTGATGCCCATGTCAATGTCCAGGCTTAATTTTATGAGTGAAGGAAGAAGTAGGCAAGTGGGCTGGGTCTGGCCCTGCCCCAGACCAGGAGGTTGGCTCTGTCTACACTGATCACCCATTTCCTTTAAGATCACTTTCTTGATTTCAGCCTGGGGGAAACACTGAACGTGCCAGTTGTTCTAACTGATGTAGTGAGAAATGATGCGGGCACAAGTGAGACAGACTTGCCTAATTAATTAATTAATTAATTACTCTTATTAGTCCCTCAGTCCTGTGAGTTTCAGGCTTTGGGGTCTCTTTGAGACCCTGCAGGGAAGTTGTAGAGGAATACCCCTCTACAACTGAAGCCTCATCTGGTTACTGTGTTCTGGGCTGCAGCCTTCTCTACTCTGTTGTCCATCAACTCAAGGCCACAGACTTTCCATCTTTCAGAAAGCCACCAGAGACTTTGGTCTGTTGTTGGTGTCACTTCTTCTGTTCACAATATGGTTTTGGCTTGGTCCCATTTTATACTTTTTAACTGTCATTTCAATGGAAGTTGAAAGAAGAAGGTTGGTAGGTGCCAGGACTCAGTTCACCCCTTTGAGCTGGAACTTTTATATCTTTTAAAACAGAATGCATTGCTACCAAGTTTTCCTTGTCCCCTTAGTTTTCAGGGTAAGAATCACTCTGATGTGTCATAATACATTCTCCCCCAAAGACTCCAAGCAGTTAAGAGTATTTCTTCTCAAACTGTAATTGTTTTGAGTTTTTGTGACTAGAGTTTTCATTTTTTGCTCTTACTTTTGCCTTATTGCCACTTTCATGGTGATGCTCTGAATTATGCTCTTTTCTTCTAAGTGGCTGCTTCTGATATAAAGTAGATTATCCATAAAGGAAGAATCAGTAAACTTTGAGGGTTTTTTTAAAAAGATTTTTTTATTTATTCATGAGAGACACACAGAGAGAGGCAGAGACGTAGCCAGAGGGAGCAGCAGGCTCACCGTGGGGAGCCTGATGTGGGACTTGATCCCAGACCCTGGGATGATGACTTGAGCCAAAGGCAGATGCTCAACCACTGAGTGACCAAGGTGCCCCTGGGGTGTTTTGAAACATACTCCTTTGGGCAACATGTATAAACTTTAGGGCATGAATTTTGTGACATCTATTGTGATTGGCCTAAAGCCATTCATCTTTAGTAATTTGGGTCTATCTTCAGATAGTTGATAGATTAATTAAACTCTGACCAAGTATTATAGATTTATTATCTTCATTAGGGCACTATTTAAATTCCTAATGTCAAAACTAGTCATATTTTCACTCTTAGCCATCACTATCTGTCAGTGGAACATAATTCAATTCATCATGAGTAAGTTTTTCACATAAAGACCATTTATAATCAAGATACAATTTATTACTTCTGTTATTGATCATCAGTTTATTTATGAATTCCTTAGCAAATTTGCCAGTTGTTTTTTTTTCCTGTCTTCAGTTGTAACACATATAATGGTAACATTAAAAGAAGCTCACAAATTACAAAATGCCATACTGTAGGACTCAGCACAATCATTTCATAGGAAGAAAATTTATTTCATGTTGTGAATGCAAATTTTAGTAACAATTGTGTTGAAGTTACTTTTCTAGGACGGTTTCCAAAGTGTTATTTCAACTACTTAAGATAAAATACATTATTTATCAGGATGTACTATTTCAAAATGTCACAGGTGAGAAATACATGCCAAATGATAACACAACTGTTTAGTTTAATTAGTTACAAGTGAACTGGTGGATAAGTCATGATTTCAAGTGTGTATAATATTTCTACTAAGATGTCCAATCCCAATGATAATCAGAAATGGGTATTTCTATGGGGATATCCTAGGTGGTTTGGGGGACCATCTCTGTGGGGGGGGGGTTGGGCCCAGTAACCGTACTCCACAGACTTGAAACAACAAATGCTTCTAATTCCTTGGTGTGCTTCATGAACATTGAGAAGCAAATGCCATCTCTGCTTGGGAGGAAATTAAGGGACTGTTTTGACAGGTAATCTGAAGAGTACATCTATATTAAAAGATTGATCCTAACCATTTAAGTAAGAGAACACTATTGAGCAATAGAGATTATGTCCAATGATCAACAGGTTGGAAAAGGCTAGCAGTTTTGGAGAGAAGAAACTTCTCTTGATAGCTTTAGTGTTGCTTTGCCTGAGTGTTTGATTGCTTCCAATCCCTGGACAAGTTAAATGTTTTCAAGTTAATCTATACAGTGAAGTAGTAACTCTGAATAACCAAAATTTGCAAAACCACCTTTTATTCTGTTACATGAATATGAGTCTGTTTTTGGCCTGATAATTGTAGCTGTAGAGATCTAGTAATTAGTTGAGTGATTTAGATCCAGCCCAACATGGATCAGACATTATAATCAAAAATGAAAAAAAAAAAAAAAGAAATTTCCTGGGTCATATATCCAGCCTCCAAAGAGAAAGAGGGGGCTGCACTACAAGATAGGAAAAAAAAATTCTTTCTTAGTGCTTTTCTTTTTTTGTCATGGAAACATGTTTTAAGGGGAAGGGATATACATAGAGTTTTAAAACTGAAGAGGCCATCAGGCTCTTTCATTTCTAGACTTAGAAGTGGCCCAGTGATTTGCCCAAGCTCCAACAGTTACCTTGTGGCCCTGCTTTATTAATCAGTGGGTGATTTAGTGTGCCCTGCTCATAATTCCCACTTGCTGCTACTTAGAAATATTTCTAGAGTTTATGTATTTTATACTATAAGACTAGCCAAGAAGAACAATTCTTACTTTGCTCAGCCACATAAGCTGAAATCTTGCCAGTTTCCCCCCCCCCCCCCCCCCGGGCAACACCTAACAGTTGGGTCACATCAGGTAGGTCCTTGTGAAGAGATGATATAGTTTCAGAGGATGAAATAACAACTAAGCTAAGCCTTTCCCCTCCTTCCACCTCATAATAGCTGCTTCATGCATGTATCCTGCTGGACTTTTCAGTTTCGAGGAATTCACATTCTCTTTGGTTGTATCCAAGAACATGAAGGTGGACCAAGCCAACATGGGGCTAATTCTATCTTGTGGTCACCAACTCAGTTAATAGCATTTTCCATTTGCTGAATCTTTACTATGAAACGCTATTTGAAAGTGAGAAGCTCAGTGTTGACCTGGTTCAGTTAATATCTGTTGGACATCTTATACAATGTTGTTAAAGCAGTTAGCATCAAACAAGTTTTCTAGAAAGTGTCAGTTATCTTGATATCACCAGGGTTCAGAAGTGCTGGTAGCCTCTCTTCCTTCTGGGAGGTAATGATTAGGTGGTAGTGCTACCCCCTTTTTGGAGATGAAATTTGCCCCATGAAACATCACCTGCAAAGGGTTAGGTCAGCTGTCTTGTGTATATAATGAATTTGGAATACGTGTTCAAGAAACTAGATTTTTAGAAGTCCCCCTGCCACTGCGAGTAGTATAGGGTCTACTTACAGAACTGTTTGGTTATACTCTTTTGAGATTTGGCCCTGTTTATTTGGGGTTAGATGGGAGTTTTCAAGCAGTTCATACTCATCCTGCATGTTGGGGAGACTTTGCCTCATGTCCCGGGTAACCTTTTGGATCTGAATACCAGCACTATTCTTTGGAGAAACCCTCTGGCCCCGGTATGCCTGAGCCTGGCGTTTACAGATGCCAAACTTGCTGAGCAGGATAAATACATCCCTCTGGAAGGCTTTCGTGAAAATAGCATAGAGAAATGGATTGGCACAGGAGTTAAGTGGATAGAAGAGAACCAGCAAGATTTTGGAGTTGGTAACAGTGATGAGAGGCTTGTTCATAAGTGCTGACAGAGCGTAGAATGAGATTGGGGCCATGCACATGAAGTCAGTGAAGATCAATACAGCCATCCTTTTGGCAATTTTGGTGTCTTTGTCCCCCGGGTTGTACTGGGGATTTCGGACTGTGATGTAGATCTTCACGTAACAGGAGCAGACAATGATAAAGGCAACTATGTTGAGCAACAGAACAAGGATAATATATGCCAGGGCAAGAGGTGTCTCAGTGTCCATGGGCAGGCAGATGCTGACCTTGGCATAGCTGCTTATTCCCACCAGAGGGAGCAGGGCGAGCAGGAAGCAGCAAACCCAGCCCCCGACCATGATGGCATATGCATGCCTGAGGCGGATCTTCCTGTCCAGGCGCATGGCGAAGGTAATGGCATACCAGCGCTCCAGGGTGATGACTGTCAGTGTATACACTGATAATTCACTGGCAAAGACGGTGAAGAAACCAGCTGTGTTACACCCAGGGCCCGTCTGCCAGTCGATGGCATGGTTGTAGTACTCAGAATGAGTGTAGAGGTCTACGGAGGCGATAAGGAGCAGATACATCCCCATGCAGAAATCTGCAAAGGCCAAGTTGCACATGAGAAAGCGTGGGACAGTCAGTTTGTAGTGACTGGTAAGGAGGACGATCAGGACAAAGACATTGCCCAGGAGAGCCAGCAGACTGACAAACCACACCACAATCCTCAGGAACTTGTAGCCCATTATGTCTTCACAGGGGTTGAACTCATCTGACTTAGGAGTACACACCATGTCTTCATTGCCACCACACACAGTGTAGTCATAATGGCTATCAAAGGCCTGGAGGGTCTCTTCCTGTGGGTTTTTAAGCTCCTGGCCAAAACCGAGGATCTCATCTTCTTGTTCTTCGAAGAACACATAATAATGAGAATTGCTATGGGTATCCTGGAACTGAGAGTTGTCCTTGTACCCAGCATGGCTGTCACCCAGATACTCTTCATATTCCTGGTCAAAGGGGCCATTCAAAGTATTCACAGATTTTCTCTGGCGCAGGCTCCGAATACTGCTCTCATTACACATTAAGGACTCAAGGATTCTGCAAGGCATCAGAAATAAGTCACTGTTTGCTGAAAACCCCTAATGGTCCCCATAACACTTAGCAAAATATGCAGAATACTTACTATGATCTACATGACTCCACAACATTGTACATGATCTAGTCAGGCCTGTTTTTCCTACATCATTTCCTATTACCCACCTCAGCTTCAGCCCTCTTTGAGAAAGTGTTCCTTTCTCAGAGAGGCCTTCCCTGATCTCTCTAAATAAATTGTCCTATGTTATGCTTATTTCTTTTATAGTAATATCTGATATCTTCTTATTTGCTTGCTTACTTTCTGACTTCCCCTAGTTGTACGTAAACAAAATGCAAGATGGCTCTTGTCTGACCTATTGCTATGGGATAGGACAGTGCCGAGCACATGGTAGGTGCTCCATAAATATTTATCAAACAAATGAATAAATTGAGTCTATCTTGCAGGCATGCTCATGGAAGTGAGATTTGGTTTTTTACTAGCCCGCCAGACTGACATCACGAGAGATTCTTTAACTGCTTCAGCTGCTGAGCAGATGTTGATTCATCTATGGTGCTCTGGTTAAAATGCCCAATGGACCACCTGTTCCAACCGGTTTGGAGGTTAATGAGAAATCTGGACCCTGATCTTGAGGTCCACTATAGCCTCCCGCCCATCTCTGGTCCTTTCCTAGCCAGAGCCACACAGCGTCCATATCAAGTCTGTTATCACCATCCCTGGGCGTCACTTCTGGCTTTCTGCAGGTGTTGGGCCCATACTGGCCTTCTTTGCATAGCCATTCAAGTTTCCCTTTTGCTTCTGCCCCCACAATGAGATCCTAGTTTATTTCTGGTTGCAAATATGAGTCAGAAAGTCCACCAATAGATACTGTAGAGAAACTGAGAAGTGAATAAATGAAGAATGAGAGTGGTGTTAGGACAACAGGATTACAGGAGATACAAGCAGGGAATAAAGCAGAGTATAAGTGTAGGTGAAGGCAGCATGGGGAGAAGAAGGCTGTCCCTCCTTTGCAGCTCGCAAGTGGCCTGATAATAAAATAATTCATAACATGGCTAATATTTATTGAGAATTTAAAATATTCCAGGTCATTGCGATAGGTGTTTTCTATTCAGTCTCTCATTTAATCTTCTCAAAACCTCCGTTTGTAAGGATAACATTACAGTCTCCATTCAGAGAGGCTCAGGGAAGTTAGGTAAGTAGGCTGGAATAACACATTTAGAAAATGGCACGGTAGGGTACAAAGCCAGCTGAGTCCAAAGCCCATACACACACACACATAGCCAGTAAGCTGTGACATCTGCAAAATCTTAATTGCTTGTGTTCCTAAGTTTGTCCTCATAGTGGTGGCATCTACTATGTGTTGCCGTACTTAATGTGTGTTGAATCTGGAGACTGGGAATCATGTAGTATAATCTCTACAAGATTCTACACGATCCCCACACCTCCCTGCTGTGAACCAGTGACATTGGTTTTATTTCTCATCTGCAATCGCTTTGAGTCTGTGGGGGCATTGTGCCCTATGGATTTCATGTTTCTCATGGATGCTTCAACTCTTTCCACCTGGCTTTCAAACCACAAACCTTCTCCAAACCCAGAAATTAATGCAACTTCTACCAAGACCCTTTGTCGCTTGTTCCAGACACCGCCATTTACCCTCTGATTTTCTTCTGATTCTTAAAAGCACAGCAGTGGCTTGGATAAGAAAGGTCAGCCCGTGTAAGGTGAAGGAAACTCAAGGAAAGTGGGAGTTTCTTTAGAGTCCAAGTGTTTCTTGCTATCAGCTCCTTTAGATGCTCCAGGCCTTTGGATGGCAGGGCAGTAACACTGGTGTAAGAGACATCCCTGGGAAGGAGAAAACAGAGAGTTGGTGAATATCCAGAGCCTTCTACTTCTTTTTTTAAAAAAATATTTTTAAAACTTTATTCATGAGAGACACAGGCAGAGGGAGAAGCAGGCTCCATGCAGGGAGTCCGACGTGGGACTTGATCCTGGGTCTCCAAGATCACACCCTGGGCTGAAGGCAGATGCTAAACTGCTGAGCCACCCAGGCTGCCCAAGAGCCTTCTACTTCTTGACTGGAAGGTCAAGCAGGCCAGAGATTAGTAGGGGTATGCTCCTTTCTCGGCTTGAATGTGAACTGAGTTCTTTACATACTGCCACTGGTCTAAGGAGGAATATTTGGCTTCCAAGTTGATATGTTACAAGGGACTCCCCATTTTTATTACTTGGAATTCCAGTATGCATCAATACAAATAACAGTTTAGCACGATCTTATTTTTATTATTTTTAATTATTTTATTTTATTTGTTGCCATAAATGCAATCAGAGGAATCAGAGACAGATTATCAATTTTACTCCAGAAAATTATACCACATAGCTACTAAAAGGTCTCTAGAGGCGAGAGAAATATATTTGAATAGTCTTAAAGGGGACTGAATTGCTCTCAGGGTCTATGGGGACTAGGGATTTGGGATTAATAAACTGCTCACTGAAATGGACCTAAACTGGCATCATGGAAATCTTCTAATGATGCAGAACTTGGGAGTTGTGCCAGTAACCTGGTGAATTCATGACTGATAACAAACACCCCCGAGTTTCTTTAGAAGGCTGTAAATGTATTTCATGGAAAGAAAACTCCAGTATTTATGGTAATAATCTGAAATGAGATTCAAGTCACTTCCAAAAGCAGTGGGGGAAGGTGGTGTGGCTGGAGTCAACACAGACATTAGTATTAGCTATTAAAGTAGAATTAGGGATCCCTGGGTGGTGCAGCAGTTTGGCGCCTGCCTTTGGCCCAGGGTGCAATCCTGGGGACCCGGGATCGAATCCCATGTTGGGCTCCCAGTGCATGGAGCCTGCTTCTCCCTCTGCCTATGTCTCTGCCTCTCTCTCTCACTGTGTGCCTATCATAAGAAAAAATAAAAATAAAAAAAAATAAAGTAGAATTAATTCACATTGCAGTATGATGTTTCTTTTTCTTTTCTCAGTCCCAGAGAGTCAAGTCCAGGTTATATATGTTGCCCCATCATTTTTGGCATTGAATAATAGCTTAAATAAAACCATGAATATTTAACCTAGTACCTCTTATTTTATATTTTTATCAATTAAATTTTACAATAAATTTTACAATTTTTAAAAAGACTTATTAACTTATTTTAGAGAGGGGGGGGGAGGCACCAGAAGGAGAAGGAGAGAAGCATAATCCTGGCTGAGTGTGCAGGGCTCCATCTCATGACCCTGAGACCATGACCTGAGCTGAAATCAAGAGTCTGACACTTAACTGACTGAGCCACCCAGGCGCCCCTGTTTTACAATTTTTTCATGATTACATTTAAGAATGTTTAATATAGGGATGCCTGGGTGGCTCAGGGATTAAGCGTCTACCTTTGGCTCAGAGCATGATTCTGGGGTCCCGGGATGGAGTCCCATATCAGACTTCCTGCATGGAGCCTGCTTCTCCCTCTGCCTATGTCTTTGCCTCTCTCTCTGTGTCTCTCATGAATAAATAAATAAGTCTTTTAAAAAGTGTTTAATATAATTAGTATCTTATTAGCAAGAAAATCCCAAAATTTACAGCTTCTTCCTCTATGTTATTCTAATTTGACTTACCTGGGATTTACATTCTCAGGGTTCAAGGTTTCTAGAATTTGCTAGTCATTTTTTTTACAAATATGAAGCTCTCACATTAAGCCCATTATTAGTACAGAACTGTGATTCTCAGAGAAGGGTGTCACATTTACTCTTCTGTTTTGTATGTACTTTAAACTCTATAATTGAGCATTTCCCAAACTTGCCTGATGGTAAGAATTACCCTTGGCACTTATTACTATGTGTTCTCAGGTGATTTTTAACATTAAGGAAGTATGTTTGAGAAACTAGCATAAATGAACAACTTTGAGGTTAGTAAGAGAGTTGAGGGATTTGGGAGCTAGCCATAAACACATTTGTGAAGTAAATGAAGCTAGATGTTGCTCTCCTGCCTCATCTGTCCTTTTGATGCAGCATTTTCTCTTTTAGCCATGCTGTCTTCAGGGGGTTACCATCTTTCTGCCTTCAGCTTTCTGTAGGCAACTCTTTACCCAGTCAGTGATGCTTTCATGTCAATGAAACAAGAGAGCATCTCTTGGCTCATTTTCCCTGCTTTGCTGTCTGTTGGATACACTGATTGCCTGTGTTCATCTGACTTTATCCTTCCAAGTACTGTGTTTGCATTTCAATACATATTTCTTGAGAGAACACTTTAGGAACCATCCCAGTTACTGAGTGGCAAAAACACCCAAAACTACGTGGCAACAAACGACAATCTTTTTATCATTAGCATAGCTTTTGAGGATCAAGAATCTGAAAAGGGCATGGCAGGGATGGCTTGTCGTTGTTCTGTCGTATCTGGGAAGCTGGGAAGACTTGAAGGCTGGGGCAAGTCAGTGCCTGGGGCTGGTATTATCTGCAGACTCCTTCACTTACATGTCTGGGCCAGAGCTGAGATGACTCAAAGCTCAGCTCAGTTGGGACTGTTAATGTGGCTTCCCCGTGGGGCTTGGGCTTTTTCTTTTTTTTTTTTTTTAAAGATTTTATTTATTTATTCATGAGAGACACACACAGAGAGAAGCAGAGACACAGGCAGAGGGAGAAGCAGGCTCCATGCAGGGAGCCCGATGTGGGACTTGATCATGAGACTCCAGGATCACGCCCTGAGCCAAAGGCGGACACTCCAACTGCAGAGCCACCCAAGTGTCCTAGGGCTTCGGCTTCTCATATCATGGCAGTCAGATTCTGAGAGGGAGCATTTTGAGAGGAAGCATCTATAGTGTCCCAGGAGAACTAATAGATCTAAAGGCAGGGAACATAGAACTCATTTCACAATGGGAGGAGTGTCAAATAATTTTGTGTTTTATTTTAAAACTGCTATAGTGATCCAAGTAGTGGGTATAGCATTAAGGCAGATATTTAGTGAAAACTGGCAATTTACCACTCTGCAGATCAGTGTTTCTTGTCCAGGCACTAGCTGGGACCAGCATCAGAATAACCCGCAACAGAGACTCCTGAGCCACACCTTAAACCAACTGGATTAGAATCTCTGCTGGTGGGGCCCAGGAATCTGCATTATTTAAGATGCTCTCTAGGTAATTTAGAATCTTACTTCAATTCTCAAAACATTTTTGTGAAGCACATCCATATTAAAGCCAAGACAAAGAAAAACAGGCATGTTGTATCCAAAGAGACTCAGTAAACCATGGGTGGAGCCATAACTATAATTTGGATATCAAGTTTAGGTTCGCTGCTGTAGAAACTTTCTTCTACCCCCTTATCGTCAGTCCTCTGGAGTCTTTTTTGAACACAGAGCCAGGCACAGCAATCCTCCAGAGACTCATTAGGATTCTGGGAGGAAGGAACTGAGTCAATGGTTTTGTCTGAGTGTCTGTAACAAAGCGTATCTCAGGTAGCCTCCAGTTGGGTCCCAGTGGGGCTGAGTTGGGAGAGTGCTTGGACAAGGATGGAGAAAAGCAGGTGTTGGAAAATGTGTGTACAACCTATGATAGAGACATCTGTAACATAATGAGAACTTGGCCTATAGTGCGTAGTCAATGAATGGCAATTCCCTTCTTGCCCAATTTGGGGTTTCTCTCAGCACAAGTCAGAAGCAAGGAACCCAGCAAATACAGTTCCAGGCCAGATCCTGATTTGTATATCTAACTGCTTATTTGACATCTCATCCCGGATGCCTCATGGGCAACTCCAACTCAACAGGTCCATCCCCAAATGAGCTTTTGATCTCCTACCCCCACCCAATTTAATCTAGGAAAGAAAAATCAATTTAATCGAGGAAAAAAAACCCCTCTCTCCCCACAAAATCCCAAATATATGTATTTGCATCTCCAGCATAGGCTCTCTAGTCCAAGTTGACATCATCTTTTGGTGCAATAGCTTTCTTGTCTATCCTTCCTTCTTCCAGTGTATCTTCCACATGGCAGCCAGAGTAGTCAGACATAAGAGTTGAGTAAGGTCACTTTTCTTCTTAAAACCTTTCAGTGACTTCCCAATGTACCATGAATAGCATCTACTCATCCTACCATGCCCTTTAATGTCCTACAAATCTGGCCCTTGCATACACCTCCAAGCTCATCTTAAGGGCCTACTGCCACTTACAGCCCAAGTTGGAATCTATCTCGAGCCATCTCACTCCCCACTGGCATAAGCCACTTGATGTAGCCCTCAGACTATCCATTAGGCCTGCTGTTAACCTAAAGTGTTCCTAAGCTACTGCCCTTTCCTGATGCAAGCCACTCCACTCATGCTACTTTGGTGCTTTATAGAGTCAAGCAAGGGCAACAATTGCTTTTCCTCCTTTTTGGTATTTAACCTCTCTTGCAGAGATCTACAATTTTAATCAGACAGTCTGGCTGCTATCAGAAAGGAAGGGAGGAGTTCCTGTATACTTGAAAATAGTCGTAAGCACTCCCTTTCCACTCAAAATGCAATGATTCTTCCCTCCAAGCCTACTGGTATTTATTTCCTAGTTGTCTCCACCATCTTTGAGGACTTTTGTTCTCATGGAGTCTCTCTTGCCCTTGCCCTACATTTGTGCCATGAATGTCCACAGTAAGATGCAATTGAACTACGCTCTCTAATCAGATTTTAGCTTAGCTGTTTATATGTCTGTAGCTGTCTGCAGTCTCATGGTTCTCATTACTACTACCTTAGTTTAGGTCTGAATTACATTTCACCTGAGGTGTGCAACAACTTCCTGACTGGTCTTAGAAACTTTCTACTAATCCCACCTTCAGACTTAAGATAGAATGTTCTTTCTAGAACTTGGACCTCATTGTATTGCTTTCCAGCTT